TCTAACATGTCCAATATCACATGTGCACCATATTCGACAATCACGTCACTCTCCATCTCACCACTCTCCCAACATTTACATCAAACAGATTGACCACCTACTTCATGTACAACAACACACTTGCATCGTTTGCACAGATATTTCATAAGTATTCTCTCCTTCAACTGGTCTCAATCATCCCATCACATCTCTTCCCAAATCGACTCACCTCACATCACTTCAAATCACATCCACTCACCTCACCTCACCTCCACAATAACCGAGATGGAATCACTCTGCTACTTAACTGTCACAGCTTCATCCGAACACAGTTGTTTTTATTAAGTCTCTGACCAACTGAACAACCAGATCAGGTAAACAGATACACATACACACAGACTAACTGATTCACTGACTACTCACTACTGACTGACTGACTGACTGACTGAGTCATGTCGTTTATTCACCACCAACTCACCTTTCTTCAAAATTCCACCATTCTTACGTGACGGATCATGGTCATTATCATCCCTTCCATAACCAACAATGAAAACACCAGTTCCAGGTGGCGGGATATCCGATGGATGTGGCAGACTGATCACTGTGATTCCACTCTGTAAGTTGACCATTTGAGCCAGCATTACAATTGCAATGTCGAATCCACTGAGTCTCAGTGCGATTGGTCTCCTCTGTCGTGCCGACATACAAGAGGGCATGTATCCTGGTGCCACCATAACTCCAGACGGTTGGTGATGGATGCCTTGTTGGTCGCCATTCCTCAGTGTGAGAAATGAAACCTGAGATAGACAAAGTATATCAACATTAAATCTATGCAAACCCACTGCATACACAATCACAAACACACACGCACACACAAACAATCCCTCCCTCTCTCTCTCGCTGTGAAATCAGTCAATTACATTAGACAAAAATGTGTTTCAGTGTGATCTCTTACCCGAATCACTGGCAATGGTGAGCAAACACAATGACCAGCTGTGAGTACTGCTCTCGTTGAGACTAGTGAGCCTGTACACATTGTTCTCTCTGTCGTTAAGAATGCGATGAACGGGAATTCAGCGGGGTGTTGCACAGGTTCACCACTACGTATCAACCAGGTTGACACACGTTCGAATGTTAGACAGTAGGTGAACAGCGTCACCACCACCACAAACCTCCATCGGTTCGACATCGATGTGATTATGTATGTGAGCGTTGCAATCAACCACTACAATGTTGCAACACATTCACCTATTTATATGCACCAATATTCCATGAGAGTTGAGTACATGTGAATGAGTGAGTGAGTGAGTGAGTGATTTTGCATGTGTGTAAGTCAGTCAGTCAGTCAGTGTGTTATTATTGTTATTCTTATTATTCTTATTATTCATTTTGTGGAAAATCCAACTTGCACTCCACTTCAATCATGCATTGTTGTGACGCTTTCACTTTGTAGTCATGACACGTGCCAATTACTAATCGGGAAGTGCACGATTCTTGTGTATTGTCGTGGCATATTTTGCTGTATGACAATGTTGCTCAACTATTCACGAGAGTATGTTACCATAAGAAAGAAATCACTCTTCACAAACCCAATCATTATTCATCATCATCATCATCATCATCATCATCATCATCATCATCATCATCATCATCATCATCATCATCATCATCATCATCATCATCATCATCATCATCATCATCATCATCATCATCATCATCATCATCATCATCATCATCATCATCATCATCATCATCATCATCATCATCATCATCATCATCATCATCATCATCATCATCATCGTCATCATTACATTTGTAGTTCTAAAATTGTTTTGAATATCCATTCTTTTATATCTTAACGTGGTGTCCTTATTCCGGTCTGTCAGTGATGCTTGTTCTTCCCCCCGAATCCTGCTGAATAGAAGGTGGAGCATCTTCGTAGTTACTTCTATATCTGACTTCAATGAATTTTGCAGGTATGTTGTCAGGTCCTACTGCTCTGTCACTGTCGGTTTATCTGATGCCCATGTTGATTTAATCGATCGTTGTTGCAGTGATATGTATAGTGATGTCTGTGTGTGCTGCCTCGATATTCTGTGGATTCAATAGAGCTGGTCTATTCAATGGTTGCTCGAATTATTCTATCCATGTGTTCATCTGTACTTCAATCTCAGTGATTGGCGTGCCTCATTTATCCTTGATCGGTCTCTCTAGTTTACCATATTTCACTACCAGTTTCATCGTTGTGTCATATGGTTGTTTCATATTTGTCTCTGTTGCAGATTGTTCCATTGTCGTCGCACAAATTGTCTGACACAAATTTCATCTTGTCGGCTCCAACGCTCCTCTCCAATGCATGTTTGCTTCAGTGTGTTCAGCTCGTATCTTGACTTTCTCTGCTCTTGTTACACTGTTGTTGATCGATGTCTTATTGTTCTTCCTTTCCTGAATCCCAAACAGGGTTTGCATCGAGATCTATTGGTTATGACGATGCTTCACACACCACAGAACCTCCTGACATGTTGAAATTAGTGCTTGTTTGATCTCTTTCGAATTGTGTTCCAGAGTAGTTTGTTCTTCCCTGAGAAGATCTCGTAAGTCTCCTGGAACCTGTTGTTCAGAGCTATTTTGAAGCGGTTGGGTTTGTCTGTATGTGGAAAGAAGGCTGTATTGAACCGTTGTAATGCTGTTTGTCCAGTTGTCTATTGTTAGTCTAGCTTCAGCTTTGTCTTGACAATCACCAGTTGGTGGTGATCTGAAGCTATGTCAGCTCCTCTCCCCGTTCTCACATCTTACTTCCATCGACTCTGTGAATATATTTTACTGATGCAAATATGATGTATCTGATTCTCCTTGTTGTGTTCCAATTAGATCCATGTAGCTTTGTGTATGTGTTTGTATAGGAATATTGTGCCTCTAATAATCATGTTGTTGAACGCACATGAATTGGCAAATCTCTCGCGGTTCTCGTTGATTTCTACTACTCAGTCTATGTCGACTCTTCATATCTTCATAACCGATGTTGTCCATTTCGACTTTGGTGTCTAGATCTTCAATCAAGATGGGGAGGTCGTTTCGTGAGCACTTCGCTATGATCGATTGCAGCCTCTTGAAACCGATCTTTATCGTCTTCGTCATTGTTATCATTGGTGGGTTCACAACAACATTGGATAACATTCATGGTGATTCTCTTCTTCCTTCTTTTAGATGATGCTTTGATGATGCTTTGATCCATGTAGCTTTGTGTATGTGTTTGTGTAGGAATATTGTGCCTCTAATAATCATGTTGTTGAACGCACATGAATTGGCAAATCTCTCGCGGTTCTCGTTGATTTCTACTACTCAGTCTATGTCGACTCTTCATATCTTCATAACCGATGTTGTCCATTTCGACTTTGGTGTCTAGATCTTCAATCAGGATGGGGAGGTCGTTTCGTGAGCACTTCGCTATGATCGATTGCAGCCTCTTGAAACCGATCTTTATCGTCTTCGTCACTGTTATCATTGGTGGGTTCACAACAACATTGGATAACATTCATGGTGATTCTCTTCTTCCTTCTTTTGGATGATGCTTTGATGATTGTGGATCCGTGAGATTTCCATCCTATAATTGCTTCCCGTGCTTCTCTGGACAGCATCGGAGCGACGCGTTGAGTGTGTAGTGCCGTGCTTCGATCATAGTTCGCTTCGATAACCGTTATTAATACCAATCTTAACGGTGTATAATATCAGAAGGCAAAGGGAAGCGGCAACTACATTTTTATTGATAATCGATGCAGACCAGAAAGTTGTAAGCACATGAGCAACTGTAAGCAAGCGAAGCAAAGATGATGCGTAGTGGAGATGGCTGGGAAGCCAACTCATTTTAAGCAAGCGTTAACTAACATTTATAGGCAGGCAAAAATGAGTGACAGACATATGATGAATAAGATACGAAGTGTACACATATGCGCTCATATAAAAAGTACTCAAGGTTAATAAGCAAATGATTAACAAGATCAAAAGATGACTCAATGTACAGGTGAATTGGCTTGGCCAGTAACTAGAATAAAGTATATGGGCCTAACATATGAACTGGTACTACAAGTGTGCTAATCATTTGCTTCTTCGTGATCGTAGTAGAGTAGCATCCCTCCGGTATTGAATACTTGCTATTCAGATTGGGTCGAATGAGTTTCACTGATTGCTAGCACTGTCAAGTTGTATCGCCTCATTTCTCTTTTAATTTGACTGGTCCTCCTGGTCTCCCACATTGGCCACAGGTTCCATGTACATAACTAACTTGTTACTACGGCACATAGAATGGCGTCGGTCTCTTGAATTCCGAATATTCTCGACTTTCGTCATTAGGCATCACAATTCTTGCATCAACTACTAGTTCACAGTTGAAATGACATAATTTGCTCACTCTCATTACAGTTGATTTTAGCATGATTGTTTTCAACGAGATAGGGTTGCTGAGTATTAACTCAACACTTCTATTTTTTTTATCAACACGAGACTGGCAGAACATTAGAAGTGATACGGACGGAGTTCCAGCATCACAACAATTAAAATAATAATATTACTGTTCCTGATGCTGCTGCTGACGATGATGATGATGAGTGAGTGAGTGAGTGAGTGAGTGAGTGAGTGAGTGAGTGAGTGAGTGAGTGAGTGAGTGAGTGAGTGAGTGAGTGAGTGAGTGAGTGAGTGAGTGAGTGATGATAGTGATGAATAATAATTGGGTTTGTGAAGAGTGATTTCTTTCTTATGGTAACATACTCTCGTGAATAGTTGAGCAACATTGTCATACAGCAAAATATGCCACGACAATACACAAGAATCGTGCACTTCCCGATTAGTAATTGGCACGTGTCATGACTACAAAGTGAAAGCGTCACAACAATGCATGATTGAAGTGGAGTGCAAGTTGGATTTTCCACAAAATGAATAATAAGAATAATAAGAATAACAATAATAACACACTGACTGACTGACTGACTTACACACATGCAAAATCACTCACTCACTCACTCACTCACTCATTCACATGTACTCAACTCTCATGGAATATTGGTGCATATAAATAGGTGAATGTGTTGCAACATTGTAGTGGTTGATTGCAACGCTCACATACATAATCACATCGATGTCGAACCGATGGAGGTTTGTGGTGGTGGTGACGCTGTTCACCTACTGTCTAACATTCGAACGTGTGTCAACCTGGTTGATACGTAGTGGTGAACCTGTGCAACACCCCGCTGAATTCCCGTTCATCGCATTCTTAACGACAGAGAGAACAATGTGTACAGGCTCACTAGTCTCAACGAGAGCAGTACTCACAGCTGGTCATTGTGTTTGCTCACCATTGCCAGTGATTCGGGTAAGAGATCACACTGAAACACATTTTTGTCTAATGTAATTGACTGATTTCACAGCGAGAGAGAGAGGGAGGGATTGTTTGTGTGTGCGTGTGTGTTTGTGATTGTGTATGCAGTGGGTTTGCATAGATTTAATGTTGATATACTTTGTCTATTTCAGGTTTCATTTCTCACACTGAGGAATGGCGACCAACAAGGCATCCATCACCAACCGTCTGGAGTTATGGTGGCACCAGGATACATGCCCTCTTGTATGTCGGCACGACAGAGGAGACCAATCGCACTGAGACTCAGTGGATTCGACATTGCAATTGTAATGCTGGCTCAAATGGTCAACTTACAGAGTGGAATCACAGTGATCAGTCTGCCACATCCATCGGATATCCCGCCACCTGGAACTGGTGTTTTCATTGTTGGTTATGGAAGGGATGATAATGACCATGATCCGTCACGTAAGAATGGTGGAATTTTGAAGAAAGGTGAGTTGGTGGTGAATAAACGACATGACTCAGTCAGTCAGTCAGTCAGTCAGTAGTGAGTAGTCAGTGAATCAGTTAGTCTGTGTGTATGTGTATCTGTTTACCTGATCTGGTTGTTCAGTTGGTCAGAGACTTAATAAAAACAACTGTGTTCGGATGAAGCTGTGACAGTTAAGTAGCAGAGTGATTCCATCTCGGTTATTGTGGAGGTGAGGTGAGGTGAGTGGATGTGATTTGAAGTGATGTGAGGTGAGTCGATTTGGGAAGAGATGTGATGGGATGATTGAGACCAGTTGAAGGAGAGAATACTTATGAAATATCTGTGCAAACGATGCAAGTGTGTTGTTGTACATGAAGTAGGTGGTCAATCTGTTTGATGTAAATGTTGGGAGAGTGGTGAGATGGAGAGTGACGTGATTGTCGAATATGGTGCACATGTGATATTGGACATGTTAGATATCATGTGGACTATTTGTTGTGTTGGTAATTGCAAGGTGGATAATTTGTGCTAGTTGATATTTTCGAAATTCACTTGTCTGTTTTTTCTCTTATGTTTTGTTCTTTTCTGATCTGTACTGTACTGTACTGTACTGTTGTGTTTTGTGTTGTTTGTTTACCACAGGTCGAGCGACTATCATGGAATGCCGACATGCGACCGATGGCAATCCTATTTGTGTGAAAGCAGGTCAGAATTTCGGACAGTTACCCGCTCCAGGTGACAGTGGTGGACCTCTCCTCCCATCCCCTCAAGGTCCAGTACTCGGTGTTGTATCACATGGTGTCACACTGCCAAACTTTCCCGATATCATTGTCGAGTATGCCAGTGTGGCTAGAATGTTGGATTTTGTACGCTCCAATATTTGAACAATATCAGCTCAGTGATTCATTCAATCAGTCAGTCAGTCAATCAGTCTGTCTGTGATACATGTGTGTACATAATCTATCGACAAATCCACACGTAATTGTGTTAACACATTTCCGATAAATAAACCACCTAATCAATTACAACATTCCATCCGTTTTCTCTCTGAGTTGGGATGTGTGGTGTAATCTCGGTGTGTGTGTGTGTGTGTGTTTATAATGGTGAGTGAATTGTTAGTGAATTGGACAGTTATTAATTTGTTGTTGTTGTTGCTTCTGCTGCTGCTGCTGCTGCTGCTGCTCATCAAAAACATGATCAGGATGTGTGGATATTTGCGCATATATGAAAGTAGGAGAGAAGGGATGAATACGGTTGATGTGTGAGTGGTAGCAACGAAACACATTACAGAAATACACATCACAATTAAACAGTAGGCATATTTGTAGTGAGAATGGTAGGGTGAATAGATGTTATTCTATAATTTCACATTATCCATGTGATTGTGATTGTGAACATCTTTCCAGATTGGTTGACATTTGCTTGATTTTTGTCTCTCCTCGTTGGTATCTGTGTTGGTGATTTTGTTATTGTATAGAAATGTAATCACTGAATGTGTATTAGAAAACTGTACTATCAATTGTAGAGGGAGATATTCAATTTTCTGAGATTTCTATAGACACCGGATGGTTGTGCACTGTGCCACTCATTTGGTTCTGTTAAAGACTGATCAGTTTATATCCCTTGAATATCAGATTGAATTCCAATATTGAATTGTGATATTCGACTATATATCGACAATCCATATTACTACTGAACTCATAGGGTTAATTTAATTGTTCCTCAATAATAATCGAACACTGTGTATGGGTACCTGACGATAGGGTAGAAAGCTGGTATATGGTCATTCAGACACATCCATAGAATCTTTGAATCGACAAATAGTCATTTACAGTTTCACAGTTGCCTGTTTGTATTGCATCCGTAATACTTATTGTTTTTGTTTTTGCTCTTTTAATATTTGTTTGACGTTGCGTTGGTGAAGTGTAACAGAATGCGTCGATGTGTCTTTGTGTACAGTCGTTTTCTTGTTTTATGTTTTGTCACTGATCACACAGCCAGAGTTGTTTCAGTCCAAATCGTTTGTATCTTGTGTGTGCTGTATTATCAGCAATAAATTTGTGGATTGTTTGTAGTGATCTCGACTCAAACTGCCGTCTTCAAATGAACAGGTTGTTGAGTTAGTTGTGATAATCCTGATTACACGGGAGAACTGAACAGATTTCATATTTGTTTTCAGAAATGCTCAACACTGCTTACTTTAGATTGCGTTCAGTGTAAAACTAGTGAGGTCTATATTGTATGATTTGCTTATTTTATTAGAAGAATACTCCCATGAATAAACTTGGCAAAACATTAGGGTTACGAAGGGATCTGAATGGGAATCACTGGAGGACAGTTTCGTCCTAGTATTGTACTTCTCAGTAGTGCGTATATCACGATCTTGAACTCAACATTCCAGCCCATGACTTTCGGTCTCATGCGCATACGCTTAACTTCTACGCCACTAATTTAGTATGCTACGGTGTTAATGTCTAACTTCAACCAATTCATGATATTATGCAATCATCTTACATAGTCTTCGGCGGATAACTGCTTAATACCTAACATTATTAGATACTGGTTCAATGATCTACAGGTTAGGCATTCATAGTTTCGAATCCCATGTATGTGAAAGTGGATGCAAACATCGTTGATATTAGTTCAGAAGCAATGATTAATCAATATAAAAAATGCTGATTTTTCCCTATGAGTTTTATTTTCTCATAATTAAGAACTGATCGATATCTACCCACTTAAAGGGACACCATATCAGTAACTTAGTTACTATGACTAGAAAATTCTTCAGTTACGGATCAATATTATTTCAGAAAATCAATTACAATTCATGACGTTCCTAACAACAAACTCTAATTGAAGCTAAACATCATGTGATCGTGTTTGTGAACATCGTTATAAGTTTGACGATACGAGCGTTCTCGATTCTACTGCTAGCCATCATCCATCTTTACTGAAGACAACCAGTGTACAAACTGCCTGTTTTCCAGTGTGCCTGGACATTCCTGTAGGAAAAGAAACATCGTGAAATGCAACACCGTGAACATCAAATGAATCACATTTGATGGAGTGGTTGTTGGTGAGGTGTAATCTCTCACCTACATCCACATCATCACCATCATCATCAAAATGGTGGATGAATGTGTATTGTGGGATGTAGGCGTAAATTCGAGGATTAGCAAAGCAATGAGGGAAATCATTCCAACAGATGAACAACATATCGAATTCAGAACAACTGTCAACCAACATGAAGGTGATAATCTTCAATACGAATATCGCATCAGTTAGATAAACTGTAGGGAGCTGTAATATGGAGAATTATACAACCATCATGAAGAATGTACAACTATTTATAAACAATTGTGTATGTGAGATACTGAATGTCGGTTGACGAGATTTCATTAGCAATGCCCTACTGTGGGAGATAACAAACCAGCCTCTATGTGAAGAGGAAATTATGAAAATAAGTTAGAAGTGGATAGAATACACATTGAGGGAATCATCAGTCTGCATCACGAGTCAAATATTAACATGTAATCGTGAGGGAAACGGGAAAGAGGAAGACTGAAGAACATACTGAGTTGATAATTGGAATCAGATAAAAGAATAGGGGCTGTAAATGTTTTTCCAGGATGGAGTTGGTTGGAGAATGTTGGTGGGTGGCCTAAGCTTCTCCATGAGGGATAACCGTTGTAAGTAAATAACTTAGTAGGTAATATAGGTAATCCAATGCTAATCATAATGTTGTCACATTCTGTGATTTTTATGAGTTAACCACAAATCGATTAATTTTTATATATTTAAAACTGACTTCATCAGTACCAACTTCAGGGAGATTAACACTTTCGAAATTCTCTTCCCAAAGTATGATTTGTTTCTCTTCAGATTAAATAAAATATAATATATATGTTGGATTTACATTAAAGACTAAGAGATTGGATAGCTTTTGACAATCAGGATGCACTAAATTTTCGTTATGTTCAAGTTAAGTACCTTTGAACAGTTAACATCCATAATTCTATTAGGTTTCGACATCAAGAATTTCAAATCTCACTGTAAACAACAATTGACTTCTGATGATTTATAGATCTAACTTGTTAAGTTTCACAAACATCTATTGCTGTTGATTGTAGTTTTTCTTACTATAGATTCGGTTGCATATCAGTCAGTCAGTCACAACATAGAACTTCGTACCTACGGTTGAATATCAATAATCATGATTCTTCTTCTTTTGAAATTCAAAGATTTTCATCGAATGTACCCAATTACCTACAAAAGTCATTCATTTTATTCATAGCAAGATATGTCCTATTAAACAGGCTATCGTATATTATCATCAATCTAAGCTTCGTTGTTTATTTATTTAAACATAAATATTGGTACAAAGGGGCACCAGATATATATGCGCCACACGAATCTCATTTCATTTGTGTGGGGACTGTGATACTGCCCAGGTGCCCAGACTGAAACAGGTGGTTTTCTTAGGAAGCCACACCTGGATGTTTTGACCTAAAGGTCTGATCCACAAGGCAATGGAGCATCGTGAGGAGATGCAGTCCCATGGTAGTCGGTGACCAACGATTGATTCATGTGCCATTTGTTCCCTCAGGATACTGAAGCCGGCTCATGTGCACCGTTGGTGTGGAATCAGTGTTTCCCAACTTCCCTAGGTGGATCCTCCGTGTCCACCGAACCGGTTTAAGCTCCGGACATTCGCTTTTCGTCCTCTAACTTTCGTGAACAACACCCCCGCCACGAGAAGGCAGTGAGTAGAACTTCTGTGGCATAGGCTATATACGCGTGGTCATGTGAGGGCATTTCGAGAGGGAGAGCGGACTTTCTCTACTCTCGGCCGTACCATGGCATTTGGTGCCTATTGCCTCGTAGTATTTCAATATTTTCCTAAAACCATTTCTATTCAATATATGAAACGATCAGTTTCTCTTGCCTAATAATTTAATTCGAATGCAGGAAATCGAACAACCGTCCATCATTGTCTTCAGTGAGTTAAGGTATTTCCTGT